AGTTCAATGGTTATAATTAAGTAACAAATTATAAATGAAGTTTTCTCGATTATTACGCATCTATGCTCACATATGAGAATAAAACATTTGGGTATCCTCTTATTAAAAACGGCACTTGCAATAAAATATTACTGTATAGACATTTCCCATCATTGGAAGATGCAAGTAAAATATTTCTCATTAATGAAAATTAAGTATTAGCCTCTAAATTAGAAAGTAAGGTCAAAATGTAAATCCTTATTATTCTTTATAGGTGTTATAATAATATCTTGTAAGCTAAATCACAATTGTAAACGCTTCTGCACATATATATGGGTAAATACATTACTTGCGAACCTTTGCTTAGCAGAAATTAAGGGCCTTTTATATAAAAACAACCTCATACCGATTAATTGCACTTAGAGTAAGTTGTCGCACTGCTCGCCTACCGTTTAATAAGCAGATGAGAACAAATTTGATATTTGCAATGTTAATAAGTAATTATTATAATTTAATAAGACTAGTAGGATTATTTAATAACATTAATAATTCATACTATTATTCATATAACTATAACTTGGTTTTAAAACATTATTATAAAATAATAGAAAAAAATAATATTTTGAGATATAGACTTAGAATCAATTGTAGTAATTTATGGAAGTGTTTTGACCTTGTTTTTCGCAGCTTGCCTAGATTGGCAGAAAGACCTAGAGGAACACACATTATCTGGAGTCCATAGTATGCATAATAATTTCCAAAGTCGGACTATGGACTTGATGCATTCCTAAAGGTGTTGTCGGCATCGTCAGTAAGCCTTGCCTTTCTTAGCACCGCACTGCAATCAGTAAATGAGACAATTTAAGTTAGCTTTCCATGCTATTTGATAATCCAGAATAATGGGGCTCGCTCAATGAGGCTGACGTATATGTGCTATCAAGTGTTTGGGGCAGAGTGTATAACATAATGCCTCGAGTAGCACTGATATGCTGGCAGCGATTGAGTGAAATCACTGAACCAATCAGATAAAAGAAAGATCTTTTGGAGCACCAGGGAGACTCTGGTAGGACATGGAGGAAGAGAAATGCAGCTCAAAATACAGCCTTAGATCAACATTCCCAGCAGAGTGGAGAAAGGTGAAAACCAGCGAAAAGTGTGAATAGGTCTCCCTACCCCCACTCCAAAGGACACACTTAATTAAGACTTAAATAAGACTTAAATAAGACTTAAATAAGACTTAAATAAGCAAGTTAGAAATTTTTATAGTGAAGGGGCGACTCGAGGATATCGGATAGGTGAATGCACCTGGAGAGGAGAGATACCACCAAGAATCAACTTCACTTGTCTTATTTACAAACTGATGATATCGGCGAAACCTTTGGGAATGGATCAACTCCATAGTCTGACTTTGTCAATTATTATGCATACTATGGACTCTAAGCAATACGCGCTCTTCTGGGTCTTCCTTCCAATATGACTTCTATACAAAGAAAGGAGACCACGAAGATCCTAAAGACCACATTATCTTGGTCTTCATACCTTCTATTATAGTAATTTATGTTATCAATTAACTTGCCTTGCTAATTAATGGTACCACTGCATTATTTATTATATATTGTAAGTTTGCTTTAAGATTTCAACCATACCGATCTTGTAACCACAACAATTAACTTGATTAGGGTTAGCTATTTATTTTATATTATTGGTGCAGCTAATTTTAATTTAATCCACTTTTAAAAATTAACTATTTGTAATATCTTTTGTTCTATTTATAGGTAAACCAGGACCAATAGGCTCTCTAGGGGATTCTGGTCAATGCATCGGTACCCCACCTCCCGGAGATAAAGGTGAAACGGGTCCATGGGGGCCTGTTGGCAACCAAGGCCCGATAGGACACAAAGGAGAAAAGGGTGTAAAGGGAATCCAAGGAATTCCAGGAAAGTCTGGTATGTGACGAAACTGTTATGAGCCAAAGTCCTTTGAGCAATATGCATTTTACATGAAACATAGCATAGTCTTTTATAAAAATTAGATTTCTCATTATATACTTTATTAAGCTTTAGCTATTCTGCTTACAGCCCTATTAGATTGCGAAAATATTGGGATTTTAGTTTTATTTAAGCTGTATAATCCCATAGAATATCAGAAAATATTTTGTTCATTGTGTAATGTATATAATAAGTTATTGGAATTGATGCATTCAGATAAAATTTATTCGTACCCCATGTGTATAGCCTAGCAAATTTATGAGGTTCTGGCTCACGGACACCATCAATAGGCAGCCTTCGAAATGCCTCTGCTACTATTTGGTATTTGATTCTATTTTTATCTAATCAAAAAGCAGGTACAAAGAGTAATCTAGTTTTCCTTATTATATCCTGTTTCTATCTCGTTTTAAACGTGTAAAGCTATTTTTATATCTCAAGGCCATTTAACCGATGATGTATTAAGCTTAAGGGCCAGGATATTATGTAGATACTTCTCACACAAGTTTCCTGCCTTTCCTGAATATAGGTGCTCCAGGTCCCAAAGGAAAGACAGGACCTGAAGGAGAAAGCGGCAATGTGGGTCCAGAAGGTGATTTTGGACCCCGTGGCGAATGGGGAGATCGTGGACCCCAGGGTCCAAAAGGCCTTCCTGGAGAGCCAGGCAAGAAAGGTAAGAAATAATTGTTGTACTGCCTAGTCTTGATAACGCGAATACCATCGAGAAGTTATATTTAGTTCTCATAAAATAGAGCATTTTTGTTTCGCCATAAGATATTTCCATGCACATAAATATGGGTACAATTTGTTTGCCTTACTTATATCATTATTTGTAAATTAGGTAGCTCTGAGACGAATATTACTCATCAAAAAATTGAACCTATTCCTAAAAAATTAGTATCATAGTTAGCTTGCGTAAAATTAATTTTTCAAAGCTTATTCTCTACATAGGTATTAGTGCGAGCCAAAGATATCAGGTCAAAACAAGGTATCATAATTGCATTTCAAAGCTTAAGCCCAAGAGCAACATAATTACTACAGGAAGTTTAGCAGAGATCGAATGTAGAAACTTAAGTAGAGTATGCACAGCGTGTAGACAAATACTCATGAGGTAATTCTCCTGTATATTGCTTGCGGACCAGCTTAGGCTAAAAGGAATTGAATTTCTCAATAGAACAAGGGATATCACGAGGCATACAAAAGGTGATTCAATTATCCATTAAGAGCTCAATGAAGACGAATAAAGTATATGGTAGTTTCTTAAGGAAGGTTCAGTTGATACGAGTGAAAAGGGGAATCGTTTCCCAAATTCTTGCCTAAGCTAGACGCATATGGTTATACAAGTTCTGATAAGAAACTAAGGCCAAAACTCAACAAAGGAGATGGATAAATTCTGTACTTCCAGAGTTAGAGAAGCTTAATTACAAAACCCTCTTCAATAAGCTTTTGTTATATGGAGATACAGAGAGTAATTATAATGGATTTTATCGATAATGTTCCGACACATAATACTGAATATTAATTATTATACCGTCGGATATATAGGAATTTATATATTTGCCAAAGCTAACCAGTAAGCTGTGGTAAATAAAATGCAAACATTACCCACTTGATTTCATGTGCAGCTTAGTTGATGTCTCTCACTTGGACTTACATCTGGCACAAATATACCTTTAGCCTAGCACCGATAACGATACATAATCCTCCTGTCTCTAGCCTTTAGTTTCATATCCCACATCTCAGAGGTGGATCCCCACCGGTAAATTTTCATGCTGATTTCAGGTTGGAATCCTCTCACTGCAATCGCTTTTTCTTGATTTTATCTCTCATGATCATCTCTTTGGTAATTTCTCTTCCTGTTGTTAAATAGTTTTCCTTGGTCCAAGCCTTTTCCTTTTACTGTCTTCGCTGATTCTCTAAGTCTGTCGAATTTGTACGCGAACGTATCGCTGACTCTTTCTTCTTCCAATCTCCTCTTTATAGAAAGATGATGTCAACAGGCTCCCTCCTCTTTGGTTTTATAGTCATTCCGTTGCACTACAGTCAATTGTGTGGCCTGCAAGGGCGATGTGTTCAGCAAAGTCCGATCTTTCCGTATCCATTTTTCTGCATAGTCTCTGGTATTCTTTGATCATTTTGCTGATTTTCCTTGCCGCATCGCCGATTTATTGTTGTTTATTGTCTTTACAGTTTATGTTGTAACTTCCAGAGCACTCCATTTTGTTGACTTTATGTTGTGTAGGCAAGCTGGTAACGATGGTTATCATTTCATTTATAATTGCAGGAATGCTCCATTTCTATAGTACCGGCTGCAGTTTCCGAACCAGTTCGTATTAGAGTAGACCAATCCATCGTTACTCCTCTGTTTCCCTTACCTTCCTTCCATAATTTCCGTGTTTCTATCTACTCATCACGATTAATATGTTGCGTTGTTTTGCTTCTCATGGCTATCCGTTTCCAAGAGACCTCTGGGTTAGATTTTTCTGTTCCTCTACCAATATCTCAGAATTGGTAAGTCGTCGGCTTCTTATGACCATATCCATGGGTATCCCTATCTTTATTCGGTAAGTATGGTAAGATTGGAAATTAAGGAATATTCCTTTATGTGCTTTGTTCGTAAGAGTCTCCGAGTGAATTGAACCCTCATCCAAGAATGCTAAGTATCCAATTTCTTTCATATTCACTGCAAAGTTGACTTTTTATTCATATTCTGTAATTTAAGGTGGATTTATTTCGCCCGTTTATGTGTTATTCAATGTTTGTTGTTTAGTTGAAGTTCCAATGGTTCTCCTTATTTTGGTACTTTCGGTAATCCTATGCTGCTGGGGCTCTTGTATCCTAGCGTAGGAATGGATTCATTGGCCATTTGCCGATTTCGCAATCTTTATTCATTTTTCTCAGCATTTATTATAGTTTTCTATTGATTTTAACTGTTGGATCTTTTGTTAGCAGTCGATAATTTTTAGTGCCTCGAGAATATTTTTCATTTTCTTTATACATTCCTTCCTGCTCATCACCAGTGTGACGCCTCTATTGTCAGCTTGTAAAGAGTTTCTTTTCAATTCTACATATCTCTTGGTTATATTGTTCCTATTTGTGGGTTCTTTATGCATCAAGATTTTTTGGCTACTTTCCATTTCCAACTCTCTCTTTCATTCTACCGGTAGCTTCCTATAGGCATTTATCACCTTCACTAAAATGTCCTCGATTGCCTACCTTGCATTCCGAAGTGCAAAATTTAGTCGCTTCTCGATGTTTTTCGTTGTTTGAGGTCAAGAGGAATGGGAGACAGATTCATTAATTAATCTTCATCTCTTGTCTGGACTGTGAGATTAGTCATTCTAGAATTCTATTCGTTTTTTCCGAGTGGTTGGATCTTTGGGTGGCTATCAATCTTATATTTATTCAGCTTATTCTGGTGCCTTTTTCGATTAAGTCCGAGATCCTTTTCGATTTTTGCTTGTCATTTACTGTAGTTTCATGAACTCCTCTGTCGAGAGAATTCGACTCAAGTCATGCTTCTGTCTAGATTTAATATCTAAATACTTAGATAATTTTCCCCCTTCCTATCATATATCTTCTCTTACTTATGCAACGAAGCTTGATATTTTATAGCAGATACCTTATTGTAATGATAATTTTTTCTCAAATTACAATAATGTTTACAACGGTCAGGAAAGACCAAAAAACAAGATTGACTTACGATTGTTCTCTTTGATCTGTTGGAATCAGTGTACTGGCTGACAACCTTACCACCTTACTTAGAATGTTGACATGAAGACAAAAATAATATGGCCTTTCTTTGGTCACAT